GTAGGAGACACACTCGTGCCCAGGCTCCCATGTGACATGCATTTCTGAAGCCCCTTGGCCCAGTCTCAGCCCTCTCCATTGTCTGGGTAAGCAGAAAAGAAGGTGCAGCTGTGCTTAGACACGTCCATGCGCACTTATCTGCATCTCTGATACAGTCTAGTTTCAATAGTAGGGCAATAATTCTGGAGTCTCAATGTCAAGAGTCCCTCTGCAGAGTTCATGGAGCAACTAGGCTATAGGGAAAACTGTGTTGGTTTTATGGCTTTCCCATAGCACACTGGTCTGGAGAGTTGTTGAGACTTGTGCACCTGGTGGTTTAGGACTCTATTCACGACCAGGGAACACTGTTGCACAACATGAACACAGGTGACCCACAGGTCAAGAGTTAGGACCAAGAACACCACTAAGCAATTCTGGTGTGTATTACATCTCCCAAAGTGATATAATGTCAGCAGTTTATTCTGGGAAGATAATGTACTCTTTTGGATTCCCCTTTATGATGAAATGTTTAAGAGTTCATTGGTTAATCATTTTCTTTGGACTGTGTAAACTTTATTGGTCCCAACTACAGTTTAAAATAACTCTAAATAAATTAGGAATATAAGTAATATTCTTCAACATAACAGAGGTCATATATGACAAGCCCACAGTTAACATCATATTCAATGGTGGAAAGCTGAAATCTTTCCCCTAAGATCAGGAAATACATAAGGATGTTCATGCTCCCCACTACTGTTCTACATAGCTTTGGAAGGCTTAACCAGAGCAATTAGGGAAGAAAAAGACATAAAAGGAATTCAAACTGAAAAGCAGTAAAACTATCAATATTTGCAGAGGACATAAAAGTACACATAGAAAATCCAAAATAAAGTGAATAAAGTAAGGTGTCTTAATATTACCACATCTGTCTTATTTCTATAAACAAATAATGAACTAGAAGAAAGAGAAATTAAGAAAACAATTCCATTTAAAATCATATCAAAAAGATTAAAATATCTGAGGGTAAAATTAACACAGGAAGTAAAGAACCTATACACCCTAAGCTGTAAGACATTGTTAAAAGAAATAGAAAAGACAGAAGGAAATGAAAAGATGGACCATGTTCATGGATGAGAAGAATAATTTTTTTTTTAATTTGGCCTCAGTATCCAAAACAAGTTACAGATTAGATACAGTACCTATCAAAATCCCAATGCATTTTTCAAACAAACAGAATAAGCAATTCTAAATATGTATGAAACCATGGTGTTGGAAAACCTGGGGAGCCATGTGCAAAAGAAAGAAAAAAATCTTTAATCCACACCATACACAAAACTTAATTCAAAATGGAGTAAAGAGGTATACAAGAGCAGAAACCATAAGATACATAAAAGAAGAAGTAAGTGATATGCTCCTAGACATCAACCTCAAAGATGCATTGAGGGACTCAACTCAAATGGCATGGGAAACAAAACAAAAAAATGGCACTACATCAAAATAAGCTGAGTTCATACAGCAAAATAAACCATGATAAAAATAAACAAACAAAAAAGCATATTGACTAAGAGAAGATATATGCACATCATATGTTCAACAAGGGGTTAACTTCAAATTATATAGAAAACTTACATAACCCAACAAGAGCAAAAAAAAAAAAAAAAGTAAGAGACCCTAACTAGACACTTCTCCAAAGTTAATACATACAAAGTCCTAAGCACATGAAAAAATGCTCTTCATCATTTATTATATGAGAAATTGTTGGGGACCAGCCCAAACTATCGAGGTGTTTGGAGGCAAGACAGGCAGGGCCCTAAGGGAGGGAGCAGAGATTCCAAAAAAGGGAGAGGGGAGCAGGCGCGGGGAAGACACGGGAGTCAGGATTGGGTGCAAGTCTTTCTGCTTATTCCCTCAGCAGGTCTTTATTTATACTGTGTAACAAGTAGTTAATTGTAATAATGCATAGAGTGAGTTAATGAGAGATCACCATAAAACGTTCTCAAGGACAAGGGGAACAAAGCATTTTTCTCTTAACATTTTATGGCATACGAGATTATACATTTTTGTGATAATTGTCATGTGTACAGATGTTTATTTATCACTCAAGGGAAGAGGTGTCTGGGAAGGGATTAGTGCGTTAGCAGAAGTTACTAGGGGTCTTGGGGAAGTAATAAATTGTGTTAGCAGTGCTTTCAGTGATTGTCTAAAGAAAAGTGAGTGGCTAATTTAAGGCTAGCAGAGAGTAGTTAGTGCTTGTTTTGAAAAGGAGTAAATTAAGAGAAAGTTGTACAATTGTATATTAAGCAACATCTGTGTAAACAAGGTTAAAATTGTCCTTGAGTCCTTATGCCCTGGAAGCCTTATCTAAGATTTGCTCTTTATTTTAAAGAAACCAAGGAAGCTTCCCAGGAGTGCTTATGCCCTGGGGTCTTATCTCTCCTGGGGCTGCCTTTTGTCTCAGGAGACAGGAATTTCTCACCCTGGGGCAGCTTGCCTGAACCTGGCAGCCACCTTATGAGGCTAAAGCATCCAGTTGTAAACTGATAGTTGCTCAGAATATTTTGATATTATGATTATACAAAAAAAGGGAGGTCATAACACAAGTTAGCAGTGGAAATTCTGGTTTTTCAGAGCTTTTCCCGATCTACCCGGAATCTGTCAGTCGATAGCCGTTGCATAGCTTGAGTCAAGAAATGCAAATCAAAACCAGAATGAGATATTCATTCATACCTACAGAATGACCTATATAAAGAAAACTGCAAACCCGTGTTGCTGAGGATGTGGCAAAAATGTGGTGGGGATGCAATTTCATGCCGCTTCTATGGAAAGTGATATGATGATTCCTTAAAAGACTGAAAATGCAAATACCATATAATGCAGTGATACCATTCCTAGGTATTTATACAAAGAATGGGGAAACACTAATTGGAAAAGACATACGCACCCTTGTGTCCATGGCAGTATTATCCACACTAGTCAACTCATGGGATGAACCTAAACACTCACCCAGAAACAACTGGATAAAATTTGGTATGGGGCCCTCCCTGATGGCACAACACTATGAAGCTGTCTGCAGCCACTGCAGCAAGAGTTGATCCCCAGCCAGGGAGGTGACCCACATGGTGTGGTAGACCTCACTTGTCTCCCTGCTGCTCCCCTCAGCAGTGTATTTCAGTCAATCCCCTTGTTCTGTTCCCCACTCTGTCTCTGGTGAGTCCTCTCACCCCCCACCCACACCCCCCCCCCATCTCTGGCCTGTATCCCAGTTCTTGTATGCATAAATAGATAAATCTTTTTAAAAAGATGTGGTATATAGGCTTAGTGGGTGCTACTCAACTACATAGAAGGAAATGTTGACTTTGGCAACACAGGATGGAAGTTGAGCTGAGTATGCTAAGTGAATTAAGTCAGAAAGTGACAATTAGTCAATAGTTATACTTACATATGAAACACAAAAAAGCAAAGCAAACAAACTGACGAATCACAACAAAAATAACTCTTGGACTCTATAAAATCTGGTGATGACCAGAGGGATACTATAAATGTTAAGGGGAAGGCTGAGTTTTGTGGACCCCACCCCCTACTCCAGCTTTCTGGGCTCTACCCACTAGTCCAGTGATTGGAAACTACAACTCCCAGCAGTACCAGAGAAAGAACTGCGAGGACCCAAGGGCGGAGGTAAGCAAACATTCTGGGATTTGGGGGGATAAATAGGGAGCCGTTTTCCACAGCTGGGGGGGCAGGGGTGTGAGGGGCGAGGCAGGCAACAGCTCTCTTTCTCTCTGAGGCAACAGCTCTCCTGATTGCCGTGACTGGGTGCTATCAGTTAGCTACCAGAGCTCCAAGTCAGCTCAGCTTGTAAGACATTCTAGTTACCTTGTATCTCTCTCTTTACCTGGGTTGTTCCTTTGCCTTTCCCCTTTTGTAAATAAACCCGTTATTGAGCCTTTTGTGTACAACTAAATTTTGTGGTACAACTAAATTTTTTTATCTTCTTTTTTAAAGATTTATTTATTTATGTATACTTCTCTGGTACAGGTCAGAGTTGCAGGGGCAGTGAGAGGATTCATCTGAGAGAGAGTGGGGAGCAGAACAGGCCGACTGATGAAGTACACTGCTGAGAGGTGCAGCAGACGGCCAGGAAAGGTCTGCCGCGCCATATGGTTCACCTCCAGGACAGGGATTGAACTCGTGCTGAAGTGGCTTTAGCTTCTCAGTGTGTGCTTTAACGTGCTGCACCACCAGGGAGGGCCCAGTACAACTAAATGTTAAGGATGTGGGTGAGAACCCACAGACAGCCCACAGGCAGCCCAGTTCACACTGAGTGCCTGTAACATAAGGACACTGGAATTCTCGGTGGTAGATGTGAAGCCTAGACAAACATGGATATGCGAAGCTGTCACAAATGTATAGTTTTGTAAATGAATGCGAAATCAGTAAAATTTAAGTCTAGATCTTTCCTATTGAGACATAAAATGATGACATTTCACTAAATGAGTCTTGAAAAGTAGCTATTTTTCCATAAAAACATGATCTGCTAGCAAGTGAAGAGTTTATTATTATTAAGGCGCTGGATGGACTCTTGATTAAGGTCTAATGGGACTGAATCGATAACCCACTAAAACAAGAGCAAAAGAGTCCGGAAGCTCAAAAGTTGGACAACTGTGACCTACACAGATTTGACAGGAGCTCAGGTCAGATTTAACTCACTTCTATCTCGCTGCACCCACCACACACCCAGGGGAAGCCTGATGCAAAGCCTACTTGGGAAATCATTCTCCATGGCAGCCAGCAAGGACCACTGGGTGGGCGGGGCCTCTACCTGACGTGAAATTCATCACAGAGTGCAGCAGCCCCTAAGTGCATTCTGGGAGGCGGCCTCAGCCAATCAGGAACAAGCTACGTCACAAGGGGCGCGCCTCCCAGGAGGCCTGACCACGTGGGCACTGGGCCCGCCCCCGGGGCTGCCAGGCGCGCAGTTTCTCTGCGGAGGCGGGAGCGAGCGCCGTGCTGGGCCGTCCAGCATGGTGGACTACTACGAAGTGCTGGGCGTGCCCCGCCAGGCCTCGTCGGAGGCCATCAAGAAGGCGTACCGCAAGCTGGCGCTCAAGTGGCACCCCGACAAAAACCCCGAGAACAAGCAGGAGGCGGAGAGGAGATTCAAGCAAGTGGCCCGGGCTTACGAGGTGCTGTCAGATGCCAAGAAGAGAGACGTCTACGACCGGTATGGCGAGGCGGGAGTGGAGGGAGGCGGCTGCGGAGCCGGCCGGGCCGGAGGCAGGCCCTACGAGGACCCCTTCGAGTTCGTCTTCACCTTCCGGGACCCGGCCGAGGTCTTCAGGGAGTTCTTCGGTGGCCAAGACCCGTTTTCGTTTGACTTCTTGGGAGCCCCGCTTGACAACATTTGGGGGAGTCAGAGGAGCTCCCGGGGGAGCAGAAACAGAGGGTCCGCGTCCCTTTTCTCCGCCTTCAATGAGTTTCCAGCGTTCGGGGGTGGTTTTTCTTCTTTAGATACAGGATTTACTTCCTTCGGCTCCCTGGGGAGCGGGGGACTCTCTTCCTTCTCCATGTCCTGTGGCGGCGGAAGTGGGATGGGCAACTTCAAATCCATGTCAACTTCCACCGAAATCATCAATGGCAGAAAAATCACCACCAAGAGAATCGTTGAGAATGGACAAGAGAGGGTAGAAGTGGAAGAAGACGGAGAGCTGAAGTCCCTAATAATAAATGGCCAAGAGCAGTTGCTGCGCATTGACGCCAAGTAGTGTCAGCCCGTGTTTACCTAAGCGTCTTGCGGGACCAGCAGCACTCTTGTTTTGGAAGATTGATTGCAGGTGAACTCTACTTTCAGAACACCACCCAGGAGTCTATAAACAGTTGATGCCAGCGCCTGTTTCTTGCTATTGCCGGACCATTCCAATAGGGCACCTGCCCCTTTCTTTCAAATTGTTGTAAATATCTGTATGCACTTTGCTATTTATTAAACATAATCCTGAGGCTGATGGTAATTGTTTTGTAATAGGAGGACAAAATATTTACTCCGGCACCTTGAACCTTGCCTTGCAATACTCTCTGAAATGTGAGCCAAATCGTTTTTCAAAAGTTAATATTGCCAAGATAAATCCACTTGTTCCTGTTAACAGTAGGTAGTAAAAGATGAAAGCCACTCAGTGGCACCTCTGGCTTAAAGATGGTTTTTAGTTCCCTGTAAGCTGGTGACTTAGTAATTACTGAGTTGGCTGCTGCTCATGGACAATGTTAAGCCCAGGCTTTTTAAAAGCAGGTGAACTTGGCACAGTAAGTATGCTGGTTTCCTCTAGCAGCTGTAACAAGTTACCATGAAGTGGGTGGCATAAAAGCTATGCACATTTACTCTCTTAAACAGCAGGAGGCAGACATCTGAAATCAGTTTCACGGAGCTGAAGTCACTGTTTGCAGACCATGGCCCCTCCAAAAAGAGCAAACTGACAGTGGCAGCTCAGAAACTTAATGCAGATCTGATTGCTAGCCTGCCCTACCTGGTTCTGCAGGTGGCTGAGGGAAATGTGGTAAGCATTTCCTGAATTCCCACAAAGCTATCCTTGGCCTTGGGCAGCATATTTCTCAAGTCAAACTACACTGACAGAAGCCAGATTTCACATGGAATATTAGATGAGGCAACATACATCTGAAAGAGCTTTGTGTTAGTGCACACTATGCCCCTAATAGAAACCTTTTGGAGTATGGTTACCTCAGGGACATAATATTCCAAATGCAAGGGGCATCTCCATTGCAAAGTGGGTTTGCATCTCAGGAAAAGGTTTGCATATGAAATGAAAACAAAAAGGCAACTGGATGGATAAAAGGTATATCATGTTCCTGATCTCTTACAGAAGGTCCTGTGGCCTAGACAAATCGCTGACAAACTAGAAATACAGGAGAGTGAGTTGGGGTACACTTTAATGCCCTCCAAGTCCAGTCCCCATGGAATGACATGCAAACTGCAGAAGGTACATCAATTCGGTGTCACACAGGAACATGGGGAGTTGTAAAACGACACCTGATAATCACTGAGGTTCCTGTGCAGCTTGTACACTAGCTTTGCATAATCCGGACAAAAAGGGCCCCCGGGCTTTTAAGAACATGAGTTAAATTGCTTGCCAAGCAAAGGAACTCACACCAGAGAAGATGCCCATAGCTTCAGTTGCCACCAGTCCAGCGTCCCTACTCTGGGGAGTTGCCTGTAGCCAGTGACTGCCACCTCTTCTCCACCTTTATCCTACTCCGCTCAATTTTGGATTTTTTAGTAACTTTTGTAAAACACTTCTAATGTGCAACTTTTAGCAGACCCGAGCAGAAATATGCTTTGTCAAGGTAGAGTTCTCTAAGGTAGCTCCCTGTTTGGGATTTCCAATCCTTAGGGGAAAGAATGTTTGTGTAAGACCAGGAAAAGTGTTTCATTTATGAGATGTATATTTGAAATTTTTTTCAGACAAATTCTTTATCTTTGAAGTTTTTTAAAAAATTATTGAAGATGATTGTACTTGTATCAGGAGGTTGGGGAGATAACTAATATGAAGGAAGCAAAAACATTGTTTTGGAATGCGCACTGCAAGCTATAGATACCACCATAGTGCAGGAAGTAAACTCTATAAATAGGCTCTTCCAGAGATCCCCTTCAAGAATGCATCAGAAAAAGGGAAAATTTGAATAAGGTCATTGCGACAAATCTGGGAAAATAAAAATAGCTTCAGAATACATGTTCCCAGAGAAGCAATCAGAATAAAAGTTTCAGTCAGAGGAAAACTATCAGGTTGCCAGTGAGACCTGGGTTGAACTCTAAGCTTCCTGTGCATGTGGAAGGCAGAAAGACGGCCCTGCAGATACTCCAGATCCTGATCCCCCCCCCCCAGCACTGGCTTAAGCTTCTTAGTGCTGCACTTTAACCCACTGTGTCACCAGAGAGGGCCCAAAAACATTTTCTTAAAAGAAAATGTTTTCTTAAAAAGGAAAAAAGAAACATTGTAAAAAAGAACAAGCTCACACCAAGTGGAATAAAATCACACTTTATAGTGTGAATGGACAATTCTTAGAAGAAACTATCAGATTGGAGTTGTTTTTTCAATTTCGAAACTCTTTAAAGAAATGTTTAAAGAGACCGATTTGGGCCCTCCCTGGTGGCGCAGCGGGTAAATGCACAGCACTGAGAAGCTAAAGCCACTTCCTCATGAGTTCGAC